AATGACATATTCTAAGTGACCTCAACCCAAATCATCTTTCGCTTTATAGGCGAATGATTCTCCCTTTATACGTATAACATTATTCTTTGAGAAAACAAGACTCTATACAAGTAGAGCCTTTAACCAGGTGGTGCCACGTGGATGATTTGTGCTGCTGAATGTAACCACCTCAATGGCCGTCTGTCTCATTTAACCCTAATCTCACGCAATTGCATGTTAAAACCCCGTTTGATCCCAATATTTGAAATTTTAATGATTGGAATTATTTTTTTTTCTAAAAATATATGATTAAAAATATGAAAAAATGAAATTACGTGTAATATTATTTAATTGGATGAAGTATAATTGATAAGAAGAAAGAGAAAAATGAATTACTCTTTCTGTCCTATTTATATAAGCTTGTTTTCATTTTTTACATGGACTAAAAAATCTTATTTAATGTTATTGAAAAATTAATTTTCGTCAAAACTGTTCTAATTTACCTTTATTTATATTTGTACAATTTCAAGATCAAATGAGGAAAAATGATTATAACTTGGCAAATTAAATAAATGTATATTAGTAGATGAACAAAACAAAATATTCTCAATAAAGAAACAAGACTGTATAATTAGGACAAGAAAATAAGGAAAGACGATTTATATGAATCTAACAGACGATTTATATAAATCTAACAGAGGGAATATAATTTTAATGGGTCAATATGGGCTAAATTCAAGACTCTTCTTCCCTCTCTTTTCAAAATTTACGATTCTCAAGTAATCACCTCTTGACTCTTGTAATCTCCAAATATTCAATCTATAGTGGATTTAATTTTTTACCGGAGTGAATATAGTTCGATTTGAATGACTTTTATTTTTAAGTTAAATCATTTGAAATAATTTGATAAATTTTTTAAACTAAACTAAATCAAATCATTTTCTTGCAGTTTGATATGATTTTAAACCACGACTTTAGCACGTAAAATAAACATTTTCAAACAAGTGAAAAATAAATAAATAAATAAATTGTGATGAGTGTAATTTGTGTACTTATTTAGACCATTTTATTAAACCTTTATGTCGTGAAATTATTGAATTTTATTTAATTTGGGTTAATATTTGTTCGTTTTAGTGTTCGACCCGTTTTGAAGCATTTGGAAAATAATGAAAGATTAATTGACTATTTGATGCAAAGTTTAGAGATCAAATTCCGCGCTTTGAAATTTGAAGACTTTGGGAAATAATACCTTATTTGAGCCTTGGACGAATTGATAAAATAGAAGGAATTAATGTGGATTTGGATTTATTTTATGATAAAAAGTTGTGGACTTTTGGTGGGCTGGAAAAAGAAAGGAAAAAAAAAAGGAAAAAAGAAAGAGGGCTGCTGGATTTGCGTGGCTTGCTACTGAATTTTGGGTGGCTGAATTGATTAAGGGCCTGTTGGGCCCCGATTTTTTCACCAAAAAAATTAATTTTTTGACCGTTATTTCACTATTTTAGCCGTCATATTTGACTTCTTCTCTCACAGGTGGATCCCACTTTTCTTCTAACGGTCAAAAAATCAATTCTCAAAATTATTCTCAAACAGCCTCTAATTTATATATTAAGATGGTGGTTGCAAGTGGGTGGGCAGAAGACAAAACATTGAAGCCTTTTAGTGGAGTTAACTTTAGGGATTTTATATAAATAGAATTGGCGGCTGAAATTGGGAGAAATTGGAGTTCTTGTGTTAATAAAATTGGGCAGCTAATTTCAAAAATATACACACATACCGATAAGAGAAACAGAGCTTTGGGGGGCAATTATTATTAACTTGACGCATAGAAAACCAAGGAAAAAAAAAAAGGAAAAAAGAAAGAGGGCTGCTGGATTTGCGTGGCTTGCTACTGAATTTTGGGTGGCTGAATTGATTAAGGGCCTGTTGGGGCCCGATTTTTTCACCAAAAAAATTGATTTTTTGACCGTTATTTCACTATTTCAGCCGTTATATTTGACTTCTTCTCTCACAGGTGAATCCCACTTTTTTTCTAACGATCAAAAAATCAATTCTCAAAATCATTCTCAAACAGCCTCTAATTTATATATTAAGTTGGTGGTTGCAAGTGGGTGGGCAGAAGACAAAACATTGAAGCCTTTTAGTGGAGTTAACTTTAGGGATTTTATATAAATAGAATTGGCTGCTGAAATTGGGAGAAATTGGAGTTCTTGTGTTAATAAAATTGGGCAGCTAATTTCAAAAATATACACACATACCGATAAGAGAAACAGAGCTTTGGGGGGCAATTATTATTAACTTGACGCATAGAAAACCACGGAGGAAAGGGAATTTGTGGCTGCCTATTGTTGAGAATTATTATACATACGCACATTGGCAATGGCAGTTGGATGAAAAAAAGCAGGGAAGAGATTAGGCTGCAGCTTTTGAGGAAGGCTATATATTTACGCACAAAATTGGAGATGGCAGCCACCAGGATGGAGACGAACCGAAAGCAGTTGAAGAAAGAATTTGGAATTTAATCACTTCCCATCGATTTTCGGTGATTTCCTTCCACTTTTGTGTGTTTTATTTCAACGTGATACTAGGCTAAATATTTTCATGTATTGGATGGATGACAAAATTGGTTAATTATTAGTTTGTAATTCTAGACTTTGTGTTTTGTGTTAAATCTTGCATTGTAATTCCATTAATATGCCTATTTATATTATTTTAATATTTGCGCACCATTAGGACAATAAGTTGCTTCTTCGTAGTGTTGAAAAACTCACGGTAGGTAGACCACTATTATTGGAACACACGAGCAATAAATATTAGGAATAATATTTGTAGCGTATGCGATCATATATGATAATCCTAAATATCAATGCATATTTGCTATATGAATTCGGACTAGGAATATGATTGTCTCGTGGTAATCATATGTTTATTATATATTGGAAAAGAATAATAAATAGAAGTGGAATTATCGATCGTCACAATTGCATAAATTAAGATAATTATTACTTGTTGAGAATTAGAACTAAAAATTAATCAATGCGTCAGAAATCCAATACATTCACATATTTGATTTTTAAATCAACTTTCATTGTTTTCGTAAGTTTTAGAATTCCAACGTGATACTAGGTTAAATATTTTTATGTATTGGATGGATGACAAAATTGGTTAATTATTAGTTTGTAATTCAAGACTTTGTGTTTTGTGTTAAATCTTGTATTGTGATTCCATTAATATGCCTATTTATATTGTTTTAATGTTTGCGCACCATTAGGACAATAAGTTGCTTATTCGCAGTGTTGAAAAACTCACGGTAGGTAGAACACTATTATTGGAACACACGGACAATAAATATTAGGAATAATATTTGTAGCGTGTGCGATCATATGTGATAATCCTAGATTGCAATGCATATTTGCTATATGAATTCGGATTAGGAATATGATTGTCTCGTGGTAATCATATGTTTATTATATATTGGAAAAGAATAATAAATAAAAGCGGAATTATCGATCGTCACAATTACATAAATTAAAATAATTATTACTTGTTGAGAATTAGAATTAAAAATTAATCAATGCGTCAGAAATCCAATACATTCACATATTTGATTTTTAAATCAACTTTCATTGTTTTCGTAAGTTTTAGTTATAAAAATTAGTTAGCTATTCATTTGATCGTTATTTGGTTACAAACACGAATTTAAATATATCAAATATACTAGAATTGATCCTTATTCCTGTGGGACGATAACTTTTTCATCACAATTCTTACTTGTACAACGAACTTGTATGCTTGCGGGATTTTGACGAACATATTGGTTTATTATTTCACTATAACACTCAATTCCTTTGACTACCATAATTTGAAAATTATTTTTTCTACGTACTCTTTTTTAATTACATATTCACACAATAAAATATTCGTAGGTAAATCCAAAACTTTTACTTACTTTTTCACTACACATTCTCCTAAAAATCATTATTCAAAACATTATTTTTCAATAACAATAGTTGTCAAACAAGGGCTTAAATTGAAACTTTCTAATATCATGCCTCTGTTTGGAATTTCGCATTAATCATTTATAAAGGATTGAACTTCATTTTTATCCATTTATCCACTAATTTCTATATATTTATAAAATTAAATCATTCATAATTTTTTCTTAAACTGACGGTAATATATAAAACTACAATAAAATTTAAACTTATTCTCTCTCTCTCATCACAATTATTACTTGTACAACGAACTTGTACGCTTGCAGGATTTTGACGAACATATTGGTTTATTATTTCACTATAACACTCAATTCCTTTGACTACCATTATTTGAAAACTATTTTTTCTACCTACTTTTTTTTAACTACACAATAAAATATTCTTAGGTAAATCCAAAACTTTTACTTACTTTTTCACTACACATTCTCCTAAAAATTACTATTCAAAATATTATTTTTCAATAACAATAGTTGTCAAACAAGGGCTTAAATTGAAACTTTCTAATATCATGCCTCTGTTTGGAATTTCGCATTAATCATTTATAAAGGATTGAACTTCATTTTTATCCATTTATCCACTAATTTCTATATATTTATAAAATTAAATCATTCATAATTTTTTCTTAAACTGACGGTAATATATAAAACTACAATAAAATTTAAACTTATTCTCTCATTCTTAGATGAGAAAAATATTATCATAAATAATTTTTTTTTCAAGAGTCAATAAAATAGTAAAATTTCACTAGTAAGTGAATTTGTAGAATTACAAATTGATCTAACAAATAATATATCTTGAATAAAATTAGCTAAACCCTCTCTATTTTGTTTCAATCGATTTTAACTACCAAAATTTAAATTACGTAGACTTAAACCAATGTTTTCAAATCGCGATATCTATTCAATCTTATAAGTTAAAATTTTTTTGTTCATCGACCCCCCCCCCCCCCCCGCAATGCTTCGAATCCGCTTCCTTTAAAAATTCTCGTGGAAAATTATGTAGTTGAGGACCCACTTAAAGATAAAGATGTGCAAGATTAAGTAATTTGATAATATAAAAAGATGATGCTAATCAAATCATAGTAATTAAATACATTAGAAGTTTCAAAAGTAACACTACACAACATGCTTAAAACAAACCACTCCATTACACAATAATCAACATGATACTTCACAGCTTTGCCATCGCCACCTGTCAATAATCAAAGAATATGATACTTTGATACAACTTTTCTATCAACTTTTGCAAACTATTCCAAATAGAATCGAATGAATCACTGCACAATATTAAAGGCATGTATGATGTAAATTTTTTAAGAAAATAATTTTTTGAAGAGTATGTAATTAAAAATTATATATTAGAGCATCTTTGAGACTCTACTCTTTGTTTTAAAAAATCAAAGCATTAAAATTCTCGACCGTATAATTTTTTAAATGAAATGATTGCATTTAATAGGGTACAAATTTCAATATAAATTTCTTAGATTATTCAAATTATATTTGAAATGATTGATCATTATACTCTTAAAAAAAAAAAAAACGTTAAATACAATATAAAAAGAAATCAATCAATATTTCTTTAAAAAAATAAATGAAGAGCCAACTTATAGAGCATTATAGTGTAAAATTTTACTCTCTAAATATAAAAATCCTCTTTCATAAATATAAAAAAATGTTGACAACTTTTTAATTACAGTCTAGCAAAAAAAAAAAACCTAAGAAATAGAAAAGATCTTGAGAAATATGTACAAGGAATGAATTCTATAAATAGTCTTGACGACTTTAGACCCTTTTTTTTCTTTTTTTTTTTAAATATTTCGTACTCAACATTCCTTTATATTTTAAAGATTTAAAGAGAAGACAGTAAAGCACTAGAAAACTAAGCAGTAGAAGAGATTTACCAGGAATGAATTCATCAATTCCTGGTGATGATATAAATGGCATAAATGATTCCAGGGATATAGCCCAAGATGGTAAGCAACAAACATATCCAGAATTCAGCCTGCATCAAAAAATTTATCAAGAAAAACTATTAGCAAAATACTTGATGTAGTTTACCAGTATAATATAAAATTTTACTCGTTTAATTCTTATTTTTCTCCAAATAAGAAATATTATCAATATTTTCAATATATCACGGAAACCCTTCAACCTGGTGAAAACACGAAGAAAATAGTACAGAAACTATAACTGTATATAGTATAAACAATAGATTTCAACATCAAGAAGCATCTCGCCCTTATTAAAAGTGGAACAAGTCGATCTTTTTAAATAAGCAAGTCTGATAATCGAAGCTTGGCCAAAGAAAGAGGATCTAGTGTTTGTTTGATAAAATTTTATTAATTTTTCACCTGATCAAATTTCAACTTTGGCGGTAATTTACATCAACTTTTATCAAAATATGTTAAAAACTCTTATCAAACGACTCATTAACATCAGTTATAATTTATAAAAAAAAAAGGTAGAAGTAGAGACAGGAAAAAAAAAATAATAAGAAGAAGAAAGGAAAGGAAACCTTGCAGCCAAATTTAAGGAAGACACCAAGGGGAGGCAACAGAATTGCCAGAAGAATGTCTACGCAAGTTGCTGCACCCATATTTGTTCAGATAATCTCTCTTTTGGGATCACCAAATGTAAACAGACAGAAGATGTGTATTTCCAGGACAAGTGTAAAATGCAAATTGAATTTGAGGATGTTACTTGATTTATAGGCAGCGAGTCAGGACTTAGGAGGAAGAACGTGGATTCGCTTGTGGAACGATAAAAGAGGGACACGTTGCTTTTAGACTTGTATTTATCTGGAACATGGCAGCCACCGTTCTTGACTTTACCACTTCTGTTTCTAACCTTCTAGTTTTATGCCAGAATGATATATTCAATCTTATTGGTAATTAGTGCCAATATAGGATTTTACTAAACTGCCAGAAGAAGCTTGCCAGAAAGAGTGACCGCTCCTCACGCGGGTCCTGCTTGAATAAAAAATTTTGACCGCCATGTACTTGTGTGTGTTCTGTCAAGCCATTTATCGAGTCTTCTGTTCCTGCAGCACGTCTCGTCAATATATTTGATAGTATGATTATTATGACATTGATCAATGTATAATAATCAATATAATCAGAATCGTTGGGTCTAAAGTCAAGCCATTTTGCTGCTCTGCCAGGGTTTAAAACCAGGCTTTGGTTCGTTATATTTATTATTTTAATCTGTCCAATAATCATATGACACGTGTCATCTATTCCAAACCCTAGATTTCAACCCTGTTAGTGTAGCATGGTTAGTCGGGTCGGTTATGCAGAAAAACCCATCTTTTAAAAAATTGCCTAAAAATCCGTTGACTCGCTTGAAATAGGTTACGGGTGAACGATTTTCACCAATTTAATTTACCAAAACCACCCAAATGTATATCAGGTGGATCTCTGTTCGACATCGATTTTCTTTGACAATTGCCCCCCTTTTTTCTTTTTCGAAACACTACCCATTTCAGTTTCGTTGGGTCTAAAGTCAAGCCATTTTGCTGCTCTGCCAGGGTTTAAAACCAGGCTTTGGTTCGTTATATTTATTATTTTAATCTGTCCAATAATCATATGACACGTGTCATCTATTCCAAACCCTAGATTTCAACCCTGTTAGTGTAGCATGGTTAGTCGGGTCGGTTATGCAGAAAAACCCATCTTTTAAAAAATTGCCTAAAAATCCGTTGACTCGCTTGAAATAGGTTACGGGTGAACGATTTTCACCAATTTAATTTACCAAAACCACCCAAATGTATATCAGGTGGATCTCTGTTCGACATCGATTTTCTTTGACAATTGCCCCCCTTTTTTCTTTTTCGAAACACTACCCATTTCAGTTTTTAAAACATTGATAATGATATATTAAAATTTTACTGAATAATGTGATAATTACTTCACTGTCACATATATTGATGTTAAGTATTGATCGAACTGAATAATATTATTCTTTATGCCAACATTTTGTATAGGCGAAAGCCATTCAAAAGTTCATTAAGTTAAAATGTGGAGAATATATTCGTCATCCAATAGAAACAAGTAATTTTATTCATCTAAATTGTTTGAGATAGTGTGTTTTCTCCTCCCTTTTTTAGTTAGAACATATTTAGTCAGCTTACTCTAAAAAATCCTCTAATAAAAATGATCTAAATATATTCTTAAACAGTTTCTTAGTCTCAATAGTCATATGCCAAATAGTCCTTAAATCATTTTCCATTAACTTAACAGATTTTTGGAAGTTGGAAGGAACTATCTGGTCAATAGGGACTACTTGTGTGAGAAAATGAAAGATGGGAACGACGCTACAAAAGATAAAAGTTATGGGCAGATTGCGAAAGAGGCAAAAAATTAGGAAGGGCGGCTGCAATTTTTTTATTTTGTCTTATCCTTTAATCTTGTGTAGTTTTTCCATTTTGGAATCTGAGGAAACAGAATCACGTGGCATGTGCGTGCATGCCCACCTACTAAGTGAATTTGGCTTTCTCCAAGTATTAATTTATGTTTGTTTATACAAAACGTCCCTATAAATAATCTTCTCGTTGGATAATCCATCAACTATGTTTGGGAGGACCGACCAATTAAGACAAAGCACGAGTGCTGCGGACTCCTATGTTGTGCTTGTTTCGTAAAGATGTTAAATAGATCGAGTCGAATCAATTGACTCATCGATTATCGAATTCGACTATGTTGACCTCATTTTCTGTTAGAGGTGACATGGATAACAGATACCAACCCACTTGTGTTCACATAGCCAAATTTCATCATGTAGAAATGGGATGCTAGTTGATAATTCTCCAGGTTTGGACGTGGGAGATGCTTTATAACACAAGACAAATATATTCGGACTCCGACTATATATTTTGAGATCGATTGTGTTACAATAACTAGTCGTCAACAATTTGACTAAAACAGGATGATCTTAACTCAAGCAAAGACGAGTGCATAATATAACAAGTGTATAATCCACAAAAAAGAAGACAAATAGCATCTCCAAGTATATTGATTTGCATCAATCCTCAAATGATACAGGAAGAAGGTATTTATATTGTTACAAATGAAATGTTGTCCAGTAAATGAAAATCCACGTGGCCTCATTTCATTGGTCGAAGCATACAATCCTAGGCATCAATTTGATCTTCATAGTTTGTGGCACATTTAATGCTCTTACAAAAAAACAAACACCTTATTGCCTATATTGATAAGACAAAATATTTCACTCATTACAAAAGTCTCATCAATCATTCCAAAGGGATTTCATACATAGATTCAGGATCTTTACATGAGTTTTGACTTTGTTGGCCTTATTTACCACCTTTTCTTCTGCATAGGAAATGCAATGAGCCTTTGTCTTAGCTTCAGTGCCTCATTGTGCGAGCTGCTTGGCTCGTATTTAGGACGAACAGAACTTGAACTAGTTCGTTTTCAAAAAAATATCGAATTGGCTAGTTCCACCACCTTCTCTCAAGCCAGTTCATAACTCATCAATTTATTTATTTATTATTATTATTTTTTTTTTACTAAAATTTAAAAAAATATAAGAAAAAGATAAGAAAAGATCTCTTCTTTACCCAACCTTCACCCCCACGAACCCCACACCTAACCACAAAATCCGCCCACTCGTCTCTCATGGTGCCAATCGAAATCGACTTCTCAACCCAGAGCTCCACTTGTCGAGACCATCATCACTTGTTCCATACCAAACTAATACAAGGGTTGAACCTTTATATTTCAAAGACTTACCTAAGAAGGACCAAAAATATAGATGAGGTTGCCACCTCCAGCTCTGGTGGCACAATTTCAACTTCAGATTTTGGCCCAAATTTCACCCTCCTCATCAAAAGTCCTCATGTTCAATCGTCTCCCCACTCCTTCTTTCTCGCTGCCTCAAATCTTTAGCCAAATTTGGTTTTAAGTGGAAATTTGATGAGAATTTTGTGTATTATCAAACTTCAAATGCTGGGTTCAGGCATAGTGGGATTATTTGAATTCGTTTTGGGTCGCGAATTGGGATTTCAATTGTATGTTTTCCATAGTTGTTAGGACCTGAATTGCATTTTTTCCAGTTAAATTTGTGGCTTGAAGTATGCAGGATGCATCAAATTGAAATGGGATAGGCTCGAGAGGAGTCATTTGGTGGTTGCTAGCATGGGTGTTAGCCGAAAAGGAAGTGATATGGTCCATCTATTTACCTCGACCTCAGATTTCCCGATGACTCCCAACTTGGTCTTCAAAATATATTCGTCGGGAATGATGGAAAACATCCTGAGGATATGGAAAATATCCTCTACCTCTCTCCTAATCGTACCATGAGGTTCGGCAATGAAGTCCTCGGCATTCGATGTCCTCATGCTTTTTACTCAACGATACTACATCCTCCTACGAACAGTAACGTGTCACACTTGATATCCCACAAGACTTCTAGATGCAGGAGGAGTTTACTGTTGTTAGACTTGTACTGATCTCACACTTGTTGTGCGTGTCAAACATCCACCTCCGATAGGACTCTATGAGATAAAGATTCCCCAATTGTTCAATCCTAATGGGATTCAACCACCTAACACTATAAATACATGGTTTCACCTCATTATTCAGGTACTACTTTTATGCAATTTTCAGTCTATAGCCTCACGCACATATTCTAACTTAAGCATCGGAGGGGTGACGAAAACACACCTCGACGCCTTTGTTTCAGGTACTGGAAGATCACGTTCGTGCTCACCATCAGTCGTCCAGCTCGGAATTACTCAGGTACGATTTTGGTAGCATCATTGGCTCCATCTGTGGAAAACGCTACCAAAAGCCATGGTAAACACACGTTCAGGTCTTCCACCAGCAAGCTCATCCGCTTCAAATCAATCTCCTCCTGAGGATATCCCTGTTCCTTAAGAGGAATCATCAGAAGTGCCAGAGCCCCAGCCGACAGTCGTTACTACCAAGGCCTTTGAAGAGCTCAGACAACAGGTCGCCACACTGACTCAGCTGCTAAGTCAAAGGAATTCACATCCGGCACCCCAGGGGGGTTTTATGGCTGATGCTCGAGCTCGAGCTCAGCGACATGTCCCTGACAATGGCGGAGCAGGGGCCTCAGGCATACCACATGTGACCTCAGCCTCGAGATCAGCAACCATGGAGTCCGGGGAACTCGCTAGGATTATTCAAGAAGGAATTACGGCGGGCCTACTTCAGGGCAACAAAGGGTCAACAAGATTTAGTCTCAACACTCTTTTTACTCCCGAGATATTGACATTCCCCCTACCGGACAGATTCAAGTACCCTAGGATAAAAGAGTATGATGGGACTACCGATCTAATCAACCATCTTAACGTATACACCGACGTTATGAACCTACAGGTTGCACCGGATCAGGTGATGTGCAAGGCCTTCTCGCAAACTTTGACGAATGCTACTAGGGATTGGTTCTCGACCTTAGAGCCCAACACAATAGCCTCATTCTTGGATTTAGCGGACAAGTTCTCCGCCTTCTTCGCAAGTAGTAAAGGCATCAGGAAAACGACGGCCTCCCTTATGCAACTTCGACAGGGGCAAAATGAGACCCTACGCGACTTCATGACCAGGTTCAACAAGGAAAGGCTACAAATTCTCGACCTTCATATAATGGCAGCGGATTCTGCCCTCACATATGCCATAATGTGTGAGGCTTTCAAAATGTCGCTATACAAAACTCCGTCGAAGACAGTGACCGAGCTTCTTACTCGAGGAGAGAAGTACATAAATATGGAGGAAACACTGAACTCAAGGAA